GCGCTCCCAAGGCTCCAAAGAGCGCCTCATGAGGGCCCCAAGAGGCGCCCAGGAGGCCCCAAGAGGCGCCCAAGAGGCCTCCAAGAGGCTTCCAAAAGACTCCCCAAGAGGCCCCAAGACGGCCCCAAGAACTGAACGTGTCGCCCGACGGACGACAGCAGTGAAGCCAAAGTGTCGTACCTTTTCTCCAGCAAGAGAAACCTCGCACTCTCTCTTCTCAGTACACAGCTCCCAACGCTGTACAAACAAGGCGCGGAACGGTATAGGAAGGGAAAAGGGGTGGGTGGATATGGTATGAGTGATGAGGAATGAGTGGAAGTTGGGTCTTGAGCCAAAATGGTTACGACCCATGCTCGTGACCTTCAAGCTCAGGGAGTCTAGCAGGGGCATCGGCCTTGAAAACCACCGGCCTCTAGACTCAAATCACACAGTACCCCGACAAACAGTGAGCTTGATAGGTCGCGAAGGCACCATGGCTCTCCTCCGAGCCAATGGGTCGCACCATCTTGGAGAAAGGGAGTGGGCACTCTAGTGCCATTCATGTAAGTACTGCTGCTGCCGTCGTGCCGCAGCGAGTCCTGACGACCTCGCTCCGGCCTGGCTGGTCACTGATATCTCGCTCGGCCCTGACGACCCTCGAGAGACGTGCACCGGCCATGTCCCGCCAGACCGTGACGACTGTCACTCGGCATGGGACGGCTGAACAGCACTGGCCTTGCCATCGTTCTCCTGCTGCTGGAGTTGCCTCTGGGATTCGGCTCTGGAGCGGCCTTTCCTGCGGGAATCCTCGCGCCGGCCCTCGAGGGCCCCGCTTTCCGCAGAGAGACGCAAACACCCGGAGCGAAGCAGCTCATATTGAGCCGCGTTGGTTTTGGCAAGGTCCGATTTCGTCATGCAATCGACCGGAAGTAACGGGTGCGGCATCCAACGAATCACGCTCCCGACCTTCTGCATGATATCTCGAACGACCGCGAGGTCGATCGCGGCCCGACGATCGGATCGAGAACCATTTGATAGCTTGCTGAGAGTGTCATAAATTCCCTTGGCGTCGACTATGCTGACACACTCCGAGGGCGAGTGAGCGATCAGCTGGCAGTCTTCCTTCAAAATGGCCGCAAAGGGGCCGACTTTCCCCTGCCAGGCTTCTGACACCACGTTCCCTCTCACAACATCTTCGAACATGAGATGAAGCCACTGAGCTTCAGCAAGAGCTCCGGAAAGCGCCAGCGTCTCTCCTGCGAGAGTGCTCGCCACCTGGCGCTTGACTCGGCATGATCTCCAAGCTAGGGGGGTGGCCCTCGCACGTTGACCGTGCGCTAGAGCATTGTCTGCTAAATAGACCTGCCATGCTTGTTGTGGGAACATGCAGTCATCCGAGCCGACTCCTCCGCAGTCGCTGGCCGTCGCGAAAATGCAGCGGGAGGGGTCGAACTTGTGAATTATCACGGGCATGCTGGCCGTGGACCTAAGGTGGTCCACCATCTTATGTGCCTCGACCAGGTCTCTGACGCATGGTGAGTTCACCTTGGTCGCTAGAATAGACGCACATCCGGCAGCCTCAGCACGGGATTCCCGTCCAACCCAGTTCAGTTTGTAAACCAGGCTTCGGAACTCCGCCACCTCCGCCCCAACCAGGGGACTGGAGTGATCCCCACGACGCCCCCTTGACAGCGGTATCTTGCGGACCTGCTCGAGAATGTATTTTTCCTGGTCCACAAGAATACGCGGCGTGGCGGTGCCGTGTCCAACGAGTCGAAGCCTTCGACCGATATACTCAACTCCGGCCTCGTCGAGTTTCTCCATTTTTCCGAACGTGAAACGCTTCTTAAACTCGGTCAAATACTTGTTCTGTTGACCCGGAGGGAAAGCGATAGCCCAGTCGTCAACCTCCAGCAGCACCTGCGCGACTAGGCGACCATTTTCCTTCTGGGAAAACCAGCAGGGCTCCAACTTGGCCCTCATGAAGCCTTGTCCCTCCAGAAACCTGGCCGACGTCTCATGAAACGCGAGAGGTGCGTCATCGAGCCCATACACAGGAGCGATGAGCTCAATGAGAGCTCCGGCCGGAAGGTTCAAGCCCTCGCAGGGCTCCACAAAAACCCGCCCTCTGGGCCGCTTAAGCGGATCGGACTGACAAAAGGCGTTCTTAATGTCGCCTATATGGACCTCTAAACCATACATGAGAGATATGGCCAGAAACAGCATGAGAAAATCCATGGATGGCGTGGGGGCATAAACTTGGAGTTCAGCGGTGTCCTCGTCTTGGTGTCCCCTCACGCACCAGCGCGACTTCGCCTTAGGTCGGGCTCCGACGCTGCCTTGGGGTTTCCAGCGGCGGACCATCCGACTCGAGACGACCCGATTGGGAAACAGCTGCCTGAGTTGACGCCCCTCGGCCGGAGCGTGAACTTTCACGGACTTGGTGGCAACGATCCCCTCCCACTCCTGCAAGTCGGAAGAGGCGAATTCCCTCTTTTCTTCGGGCGTGAGGTCTTTGAGACGCACCTCGCACCCTCGATTAGCTAATAGAGAGAGAGAGAGAGAAAAACCACCCGATTCTCCGGGCAGAACTTCACAGTTGGCATTGCCGTTGTGATACTGAGCCCAGGTGCCACTCCATCCCTCCTCGTCTAAAGCTCTTTCCACGTCATTGACATACGACACGAGTTCCTCATCACTCATTTCCAGAAGCGCATCTATCTTCGCGTCATTCATCTCAAGAAAGCCTGACATGGGGACGTCTTCCATGGCGGATCCCGGGGGCCGCCCGGGGGGAGGGGACCTGGAGCGCCTCACTGGCCTGGATTCCGGCCGACCTTCCAGCTCTTGGACCTGGGTCCGAACACGCCCCGGTGGGACCCCTCTGAAGTCCTCTCCCCTGGTGACCGAAAAACGCTGACCCTGACGTTTCATGCCCAAGTCTAATATTTCGTTCCGAAGAACCGTTCCATCCATAATCGGCCTTGGCACATTGGACTCCCCACTGGGTGTACCATCACCCGGGACTTGTCCGGCACTACGGCTCTCGTCCATGCGGGAGTCTGCTGCCGGATCAGCGATGACGGACGCCTGCTGAGGCTCGGCCTTCAGCCGTCCTCCTTCTGGAGCTTGTTGGAGTGGGAGAGGCTGAGAGGAAGAGGAGTTGGAGGACTGACCCTGCACTGGGCCGCTCGAGAGCGGAGGGAGCAAGGCAGCCCCCTCCGGATCAACTTGAATATACTTGTGCGGTCTTGACTCTTCTTCTTCGTCCCCTCCCTCGATACTGACCTCCCTAGAGCGAGATAAATCTGTGGGTGGCCTGGTCTCGCTCCCTGGATCCGAACCCGTGGCGTCGGCGACTTCTTCCTCTGGGATGGGGGACAGCCCGGGAGGGGGAACCAGCCGCTGAACGTTGCCCCCAGGAGCTCGAGACCTGGCGGGAGGAGGAAGCGGAGCCTGAATGGGTGAGGCTTCCACTTCCACACCGTGTCCTGGTTCCCAGGCCTCACGAGGTGGCGGTCCTTCGGCCGCCACGTTGACCCCCACGCCCGTGCGGCCCACTTGGGCCTCTCGAAGAAGTTTCTGGACCCCAGGGTCAGACATAACTTCCGCGCCCTGACTCTCTGGCGACGTCGCAAGCCTGACTTGCTCGGATGAGCACTTCCACAAGCGACTCCTCATGGCAACCCACACGGTCCCTCCGGACTGAAGAAGCACCAGTCCAGGTCCGACCCAACGGTCACGCTGGAGCGCGTACGTCTTCTTTCCGGAGGTCGGGGCTCGGCGCCAGACGAAAACCCACTGCCCTGGATAGACCCTAGCGTCTCTGTGGACGTTGCCCTTCGAGGCTTCCGCCAGCTTCCGCCTGCTTGAAGAGCGGAAAAGCTCCTGTCGAGCCAGATCCCGGATAGCGTGCTGCCTGGCATAGTCCGCGGCCGCCGTGTCCTGGTCCCATGCCGTCTGAACAAGATCTCCCTCCCCCACCTGTCTCACGCCATCATCTGACAACATGTCATTGGGGAGTCTTGGGTTGACCCCATAAACGAGTTGAAACGGGGTGTAGCCTCCTCTGTGGAGGTAGCGGTTCTTGGCTGCCACGACCTCGTGGAGAAGGGATTCTAACTCGGCTCGGGTGGTGATGAGACTGCTCTCGGAGGCCCTAAGCAAAATCTGTTTCACCCACCCTCCGTGGCGCTCAACACGCCCATTTTCCCAGGGACTCTCGGCGTCTATCACGTGCTGGAATACGCCGAGATGCTCAAGGCCTCTCTCGAAATGGCCCTTGAACTCGGCCCCCCCATCCGAGAGCACCATTTCAGGAGGTCCGAAAGGCCTGATCCAGGCCCTGAGAAAAGCCCTCCACGCCCCCTCAGAGGTTCCGTCGAAAACTTCCACAATCTGGAGATTCGTGCCGTGGCAAATGCAATTCAGCACTGGAATCGATTCCTCTTCAAAATTCACGTAGAAAGTATCGACAGCCATCACCCTGTTAAACTGGAAAGTGCGTGGCATGGCCACTGAGCGATGCCCGGCGGGCTCAACTTGGGCTTGGCAATCGGCACACTCGTACTCGTCTCGGACAAATCGGATGACCTCGGGACGGGCGTGTGCCGCACGCAGGACCTTAAGAAAGATCTCCTTGCGAGGATGTCCCAGATTCACATGAACTTTGTGAATCAACCGCTTCATGGGCGCAGTTATCTCCACTTCGTGCTCTCCAGGAACCTCCTGGAGAGGGGGCTCCTCGGCCTCACCTTCCGCGTCTTCTCCCTGCTCTGGAAGCTGCTCCGAGGACTCAGCCTGACTGGGGAAAGCCTCGACCCCAACCCGGCACACCCCAAGATCTTCTGAGCAGATTTCCGCCATCTCCTCGATGGTGAGGAGACTCTCTTGTTCCTGAATGCTTCTGAGCACTGCATCGGCGAAAGCCTTGCAGAGCTTAGGGGGGTACACCTGTGACTTCCTGGTTGTGTGTCCCCCTTCCAGGTGATGATGTTCGTGGCCGCCCCTACACTGCCGTCCTGACAGCTGGCGAAAAAGGGCGGAGTCGTTGGTCATGACACGGGTGGATTTGCGAGAAAGAGTCCCCTCGACCACGGACAGACCGAACTCACACTGGTCTATGACCACCTCCATGACCCCCGGAAGCTTCCTGATCATGTCCACAACATGTTTTCGCCAGGACGCGGCCCCATTCGGATGCTCAAAAGCAAAACGTCGACCCTCCTGAACCTGAACAAGCGCAAGCTTCATGCAGAAAGCCAAAAGGTTCAGAGCTTCCCTTTTCTTGCGCTCCTGAACCTCCAGAGGCTCAGGAGAGGTTTTCCGAAAGAGCTCTCGGATCGGACTGAACTCAGCGCACGGGGGCTCCAGGAAAATCATCCACGGCTTCTTGGTCCGAACGAGCTCCATAGCCCTGTCCTGATCGTTTTTCTTCCTAAAGTCCCACCCGGTCGCCAGATCAAGACTGCCCAGGGTGCGCAGTCCTGCCTCCTCTAGGAGGGGGGCGACTCGGGGTGGAGAGAAAACTTCAAGAAACGACCTCGACTTGAGATCCGAGGAGACCCTGCAATTAGCCACCAGAGACTGAAGCTGTCTCCTCTCGCTCTTAGTGAGAAACACTTCGTGGTCATCATTGTTCTGATCCCCGAGGACCGTGCTCGCCCACGAGGGCATAAGAAACTCGACCCCCCCGAGACCCGGTCCTGGACAGAGGCCTTGCCCCCATTGACAGAAGCGAATCCAGCACTTGGCGACGCTTGATCTTCCCCGGAGAAACCGAAAAAGTGACCCCCCCGGGATGAGGCAGCTTCTTCGCCCTCAGCTCCTGAGACAAGCGCCCGCTCACGTCCAGCGGCCGTTGTGGAAGGTCTTCCACCCGGCCTCTTTCCACTCGTGGTACTCCTGGCGCCGCTTCTCGGCGGCCTTCTCCTCAGGGCCCGGCGTCCACGGGTCTCGGTTCTCCGGCTGGCGTGAGGGAGTGATCTTGCCCTTGTTGTTGCCCTTGCCGTAGGGACCGACTGCTGCCGTTGGCGGGGCTGCCAGGTCCGTGCCCGGGAGTGAAATGCTGGCCTCCGTGGTCAGCGTCCCCGTGGAGCCGATCGGCATCTCGTCCGCAGTGAAGAGGCGATCCGGATTGCGGGGAGGAGTCACTGCGTCCTTCTTCTGCCCGACCGGGGGACCGTATGTCGGATAGCCTCCTAGCGCTGGTGACCTCGTCGGCTGTGGCGCCCCCGCGTTGGCTGCCGCCTGCTGGTGCAGCATCTCCTGGGAGGCCATCGCCGCCGGCACACTCGTCCCGTCGAGCGGTGCTGTCCCAATGTAGGCCCACGCTGTCGGAGCCGCCCCTGGCGGCGCCCCCGCTGCGAGAGGTGGTGGGCTTTGACGCTGCGGCTCGATCATCTGCTGGCCCAGTGACGAAGGATGCCCCGACGGCGCTGGCCGTTGTGGAACCTCCCGAGCCTGCGGTGCCTCGGCCTCCGCCTTGGGGGAAGAGTCGATTGCAGCGGCTGTGACCTTGACCTGGTCCGCCTTGCTGCTCGAGCTGCCCTGCGCCATGGCCCTGATCATTCGGCTGGCCTCCTGCGCCTGTCCCTGGGCGGTCGCGATCGCCGTCATCTGCTCTTTCACGGTGGTCGTGGCCCGCTCGAGCGCCTCCTGCTGCGACGCTTGCGAGGCCATCACCCCCTGGATCATGGCTTTCATCTCCTGAAACTGACTCTCGACTATACCCTTCATGTCCCTCTCGGTCTTGGCCTGGTACTCGCGCATCTCCTCGAGTGGGTCGGAGGTGGTGTCCATAGCCTCCGTGTCGCTCTCTGGCTTGCGCTTCGTTGAGGACGCCCGGCGAGCTGCTGCTGCTGCGGACCTCTGTTCCGCCTGATCCTTCTGCAGCGCCTCGGTGACCTTCGCCGCGTCCTCCGCCACTCGCTGATACGCCGGCTGCCGAGCCGTCATGACTGAGCCGCCCGCCAGGCCTCCGACCATCATGCCCGGGTGAAGAGGCAGCGGAGCCCTTTCGGCTCCAGGAGGTGGCTTGGGTACGCATATCAAGGCCTGCCACTGTGGCTCGGCGGTCGCGCCCTGAGCCCAACCTTGTCCACACAGCGTGCACGCGGCGTCCTTCTTCTTGCACAGGCACATCTTTTCCTCTTTCACGGTCCCTTTTGTCGGCCTCAGCTCCCAGTATCCGACCCTCATCGAGCACCCGCTGCATACGAACCACTTCCCCCACGAGTTGGCTCCGAAGTTCACGAGCGTCGGTGGGTGCCAACACGTCTCGTACTCCTGCGAGAGGCGGCGAAGAGACTTGGGCAGGTTGGTCGGCCAGAAGCGCTTGGCGCGGCACATACTCCCGAACTCCTCGGCCAGACGCGCCGACCAGTATAGCACCCATCCGGCCAAACAGGCCCATCCCCTCTCGCCCTTGTTGAGGTTCTCCGGGACGTAGGTCCCGGTGGCCCCGTAGACCCATGCTGAGTCCGCCTGGCTCTGCATGCGGTCCGTCATCGTATGCGGCCGCTCCTGAGCTCCACGACGCCCCCTCTGGCCTGCCACGCGGGTCGTCGAAGCAGCTGGCGGCATCGCGATCTGCTTTCCAATCAGCCTCTGAGTTGTCGAGGCTGTTGTCGAATTGCTGCGAGCTGAATGATTCGAGCCCAAGTGCTGCGAGGAAGGCGTACGAAGTCGAGGCTGGCCTTGTGGCCCACGTCGGCCACCTCCAACCCCGCGCTGTCGACCCTCCCCTGGCTCTGAAACGTCTCGACCTGGAACTCAAAGCCCTGGCGAGTCCCGAAGTACACGTACTGCTCAGCGCGGAGTCGGAGGTGCCGCCCGACTCCAGATCCCTTAGCGGACCTGTTCTGGAACCTGAGTTGTCAGGCCCAACTAAGGCCCCGGCGTACGTTCCGACCGCCTCTGACCTAAGATTCTCCCAGAAAAAGGTCCCGGACCCCCTTGGACGCTGTTCCGTCCCCCTCAGACTCCCCCAGCAGCTTCCGTGGTACAGCCCCCCCAGGCCAGTGCTGACAGAAGACGCGATGATGTACTTCCCCTTGGCTTGAAACGCATCCTTCGGCAGCTGAGGGTGCGACCTAAACACGGAGGCCGGAGCTTTAAAGTCTTTGGCGGGAACTGAAAACTTGTCTACCTGCATGGTGCGGTGGGCCGACGGGAGCCTAGTCAGAGGCGTCGTGACCCCCAACTTCGCAAAAGTCAGAACTTTGTTCGGAAGATCTACAATTCCACCTAACATCTCTTGAAATCCTATCGGCAAAAGGGGTGGAACGTCCTGGTCCAGGACATCCAGCTCCAGCACCCCCATGCTACCCTCGATGCCTACAGGAATCAGAGCGGTGTGGGTGACCTTTACCCCCCCACCTACTCCGCGCGCGCTTGGGTTCCTGGGTGGGACCCTTGGGACGGCGAACCCCTTCGAGGCCCAGTGCCCCTCGATCTTCTGCAAAGCTTGTTCTCCTACAAGGCCCTGGCCGGCCGCGGTGTCGACCACCATGGCCCCAGGACCTACGGCGAGCAGGACAACTGCGTAGGTTGGAGGAGGAGGTTCGTCGAAGCACTGGGAGGTGGAGTGATCTAAAGCATTCACATACAGGAAAGTCAGACCCGTGGCAGGAGACCCCTTTTCGTCCTTGGCTCCTGCGCCCTGCTTCTGTGGGCACTCTCGAGACCAGTGTCCCTTCTGATGACAGACGCGGCATCTTGTGCGCTTAAATCATTCAGCAAGCGGAAGGCGGCTCTTCCGCGCTCTGAACGTGCCGCCTGCTGCCCTGTGGCCGGGCCTGCGAGCCTTCTCGCGCCCATCACTGCCGCGGCCCTGGCCAGACCTATCGTAGAACTTCCGGTCGGTCTTCAGCTGTCTCTTCAAGTCGCGGTTCTGCTTCCACGTCTTGCGGCGCTCCTGGTCGATGGCGGCCAGCGCTGCAGGTGCGTCGTCCTCCCCGACGTCGGCCGACTCCAGGATCGCCCAGACCTCTGCTTCCCCGTCTGAGTCCATGGAGGAGACATCCGAGTAGTCAAGCAGGGACTCGTCGTCGCGCTCGACCTGATAGGTAGGCACCTGAGGTGGGGGCGCCTCCGAGCCCATAGTGGCGTAGGTCCTGCGTGCCTTGAGATGCTCTCGATGGGAGATGTCCATCTCCCGAATGGCCGAGAGAGCCGACTTGTAGTCCTTCTGGTCCCTCATGAGTACCTTGACCATCTGCGCCGAGCGCTCGTCGAGAGAAACTCCTTCCTCCAGGAACATCAGTTTCCACTCGTCTGGAAGCGGCAGCCCCTGCGTGGCTACCCTGTCGAAGGCCGTGTCCATACGTGCACAGTACTCGGTGAGATTCTCTCCCTGCTTGCGTGAGTAGTCCAGTAAGCACTCTCGAGCGACCTTCCGTCGCTCGTCGCCGTGTCTTTCACCAGACATCAGGTCAAGGCGTTTGACAATGACGTCGAAACCCCATGAGCTGCACAGCGTGTCGTCATCAAGGTCCTCGAGCTTCCGTTGAAGGTCTTGATCGAGAGAGCGGAAGAGGCGATCAGCCTGCTTGTGGGAGGGAACGTCCGTCAGTGTTCTCCAGCGCAGCACCGTGCGGCGCCACATGCGGTAGTCCCCCCAGCCTCTCCACTTCTCGGGGTCGGCGAAGTCCTTGCCAGTGTTGGTGCTGGGGCGATCGTCATCATGTCCGGAGTGGCGCTTATTGGGCTCCCACTTGCTGTCCTTGTAGTTGTCGTTCCATCTCCATCCGGATGACCAGTCGCCCCACTGCTCGCCTTTCCAATGCTCTTCCCCGTAGCTTTCCCAAGTCAAAGCCGGAGTCCAGGTGAATCGCGAAGAAGTCCACTGCTGCTCGCCGGGCTTGCAGTCCGGCTCCTGCCAGGTGTTTCTCGTCGCGTCCCAGCCACCTGAATGCCACTGCTCCGACCTGCCCTGGGACGTCTCGGTGGCGGACGCGGCAGCGCCGCCACCGGACCATGTCCCGGCACTCGTCGACTCGTGCTCTGGCGGTGGTGCATGCCAGCCTGACCACGAGCGATCCTCGGCGCTCGACCACAGAGCACTAGAACTCTGCCCGTGATCGTGCCGACGTCCACTGTCGTCGCCGCCCCCGTGTGAGTCACGCTGGCGACTCTGGGAACTGGCGGGCACCACGTCCAGTAGTAGAAGACGTGCCAACTTCTCTGCCTCATCTAGGTCGAGGTGGAGACCGTCATGCCTCATCAGTGTATCAGTCACTGCCCGTACTGCAGAATGCTCCCCTCGTTCTTCTTGCTGTGTCTCTCGATTAGCACCTTGCTCCGCTGCTGCCGTCATTGGTCCGCGGACTCAGAGCTGCTCACAGCTCCGCTACCACTGTCGCCCGACGGACGACAGCAGTGAAGCCAAAGTGTCGTACCTTTTCTCCAGCAAGAGAAACCTCGCACTCTCTCTTCTCAGTACACAGCTCCCAACGCTGCACAAACAAGGCGCGGAACGGTATAGGAAGGGAAAAGGGGTAGGGTGGATATGGTATGAGTGATGAGGAATGAGTGGAAGTTGGGTCTTGAGCCAAAATGGTTACGACCCATGCTCGTGACCTTCAAGCTCAGGGAGTCTAGCAGGGGCATCGGCCTTGAAAACCACCGGCCTCTAGACTCAAATCACACAAACGCCCAAGAGTGTCCCAGAGCGCTCTACGAGGGACCCTTCCTCTGTGTGCTGCCCCTTCCCTGATCGAAGCAAACCCTCTAGGCATCGTCTCTGGATGGGCTGGTGGGTTTACTTGTTTTGTCGCAACCGCAAGCGAAAGCGCAGGCGGCGAATGACGGAACGGGCGGGCCGCGCGCGGGCTGGTGGGTTTACTTTTTTTGGTCGGCGACCACTAGACAAGGGTCACGTGGCGAAGGCAACGTCCGGGCCACGACCGCGGCTAATTAGCTACAACAGGCACATGCCGGCCGGCCCGCTCACAGAGCAGCCGCGAAGCTGATGGGAAGCTGACGGCAGGGGTGTCCTGAGAGCTCGAGCACGTGCACAGACAACATGTCGTGGAATTCGGTGCTTGCCACAGTATGAGACGTGAACCAGGAGCTGGTGGGTTTACGCGAAGCGTCAAGAATTCCTTCGTTTTGCTCCATACTGGCCTCTGGTCCCACCAACGGGATTCAGGCGCCCCCGAGCCAAATCACTTCCAGTATTCTTCTCCTCCCTCCTCCTTCGACCAAATCGCCTTCCTTCTTCCCTTCTTTCCTCCCTCCCTCCGCCCCCCTCCCGCCTCCCCCTCTCCGCCCCATTCCTCTGCACCGCCCTGCCCCCGGCCTCCCTCCATCCGCCCCCCCTCCCCCTCATCCTCTTGGCCCCGAGCTCGAGGGCGGGGGCCCGCTATGTGCCTCGCCTCCAGGCGGGCGGGCGTGGTGGACGTGCAAAGCTGGTCGCCCAGGCGGTCGGGCCATTCCACGAGCGCCACCTCGCGCCGGTCGCCACATTCTTGTTTTTGTGAAGGAACATGAAGAAGGAACGCGACCACAAAACTCCACCCGACTGAACTCTGGCCACGACAGCTGTGCGAATCAAAAGGTCGACAGGCAAACCGGAAACACCGCACGAGCCAACCTGGGATACGGCCGGACGTAGAAAAACATCCTTCAAGAACATGAAGCCCTCCGCCGGCAAAACTTTTTAAAACAAAACAAATTATCCCGGCAAAGCAACCTAACAGCGATGTGTAGGAGCATACCTGGAAGCATTCCCCTTAAGATTCAGATGATAATCCAGTTGTAGAATTGTGCTGTTCTCGCAGTCGTAGTCGCATTCGCGATGACAGTCGCAGTGGCAACGGCAGTCACAGACACAGCTTCAGCCTCAGCCTGCCTCAGCCTCAGCCTCAGCCTGCCTCAGCCTCAGCCTGCCTCAGCCTCAGCCTCAGCCTGCTTCAGCCTCAGCCTCAGTCTGCCTTCAGCCTCGGCCTCAGCCTCAGGCTGCCTCAGCCTCAGCCTGCATCAGCCTCAGCCTCAGCCTCAGCCTGCCTCAGCATCAGCCTGCCTCAGCCTCAGCCTCAGCCTGCCTCAGCATTCAAAATGTGGCCCGGGAATGTAGTTCTGGGAACTCGAAGACCACGAAGTGGCCTACAGTTGGCTCCGGGCATTCAAAATGTGGCCCGGGAATGGAGTTCTGGGAACTCGAAGACCACGAAGTGGCCCACAATTGGCTCCGGGCATCCAAAATCTGGCCCGGGAATGGCCTACAGTTGGCTCCGGGCATTCAAATTCATGCCCAGGAATGGAGTTCTGGGAACTCGAAGACCACGAAGTGGCCTACAGTTCTCCGGGAACTGGCCCGAAGAACTCGAAGAACACGAAGTGGCCTACAGTTGGCTCCGGGCATTCAAAATCATGCCCAGGAATGGAGTTCTGGGAACTCGAAGACCACGAAGTGGCCTACAGTTGGCTCCGGGCATTCAAAATGTGGCCCGGGAATGGAGTTCTGGGAACTCGAAGAGCACGAAGTGGCCTACAGTTGGCTCCGGGCATTCAAAATGTGGCCCGGGAATGGAGTTCTGGGAGGTCGAAGAGCACGAAGTGTGTGACTGTTGCATCCGGTTATTCAGAATGTGGCCTGGGAATGGGGTTCTGAGAGGTCGACGAGCACGAAGTGTGTGACTGTTGGTGAAAAACGAGCCCGGCACAGGCCCGGCCGGCAACTCCCAACGCCTGCCCGGACCCCCCTGTGGAGTGATCTGTGAGCTCTTTTGAGTCAACTAGAAACCTATCAGTCTTCGCTGTTAGGCAAAAAACTCGAAGGTACCCCCCCAGGATGCACAAGAACATCCAACAAACCTAAAAAACATGGGGGGACCCTCCCCGAACCGACCTCGATCTTATACCTCGGTCCGACCGTAAACACGCTCATGCACTGAACCGCGCAAGTCGCCATGAAGAGAAGGGGTCGTGGAAGTGCTTTGCCATTTTTGGGGGTCCCTGGGGCCCAAGGGCCGCCGACAGAGACGACGCGGGCGGAAAAAAACCCTGGATCCAGAACTCGTTTCCTGCGGGGCATGTTTCCTTCATGCCAGGTTGTCCTCCACGGCGGGGGAGGATGGAGGTTCGACGAAGGAAGGGGTCAAGAAGAGGCGGAAGACAAAGATAACGATGTGTTCCATCATCTCCTCTAAGGCTTCAAAGACCTTTTCCAACGAACTCGCGCCTCTCGCCGGCCTCCGAAGGGATGGGAGTGCGAGGTTCGAGGACCGAACGAAGGGGGGGGGAAGGAGCGACGCTCGATGTTTTGGGGCGTTTTGTGCTTCCATTGGGCCACCTAAAGGTTTCCCGGGACGTCTAGAAGACCGGGACAGTCTCCCACAGACATTCGGCTGCGCAATAGACATGCGGCGCGACCGTCTGGCAGCTGAAAGCAGCTGCGGGATGCGTGGCGTAGAACTTCGAGGATGTCTGGGCGGCGCCGCGTCTGCGCGGTCATCTGCGCTCCCTTTACGTCCTCCCAGTGGCCGAAGGTCCTGGTGCCGGAGCCTGGTGCGACGCGCCCAAGGAAGTCCTCCATTCGGTCCCAGCCCAGGCCAACTCTAGCCAAGCCGGTACCCAAGTCGTGGAAAACGGCACCGATGAAGGGCTGGTCGTCCTGCAATCAGCTGATCATGTCGGCTCGCCAGTACTTGGCCGCTGCCTTGCCTCGAGCCTCATGCTTTCCATGCGATCTCGCTGACTCGCCGCTGCAATCGGCTGGGCGGCACCTCCCCACCCGCAGGGGGGTCGGCACTGGCGACACAACCGCCATATACCCCGCCCATTGTATGGCGTGACGCCGCCAACGTAGGTGAGGTTGTTGCCCACAACTATGGCGCGAGCAAGCATGGAGTCGAACTTGGCTACGCGACCTTCGCGTTCTAGCTGCTCCCTGGTGCGAATATCATGTCGTAGTATTGGAGAAAACGCATTTCACGGGCGCTTGCCCTGGGAACATTCGGCGGCGCGTTTCTCGGCGCCGTCGATCAAAACCAAAGGGACGCCCCTCCCCCTCAAGCCCCTCCCTCTGACCCCCCCCTCCCCTCCCAAGGGGGGGGGGTTGAACCCCCTCTCCCTAATTACCCGGGCGCCGGCGCCGGCGGCCGCCAGCAGCGCCGACGGCGGGGACGCAGCGACGATGACCAGAAGCAGCCCACGCGGGGGGTGTTCAAATCTCCCCCGGGCCCCTCCCTGGCGCCAGCGCCAGCGCCGGCGGCGGCCAGCAGCGCCCGCGCTGGCGCCGGCGACAGCGGGGACGCAGCGACGATAAACCACCACTACCACCACCACCGCTACCACCGCCACCACCGCTTCAACCCACCACCACCACCACCAACCCACCACGCAACCGCCACCACCATCACCACTACCACCACCACAAAACCCACCACCACCACCACAATCTACCACGCCACCACCAGCACCGCCACAACCACCACCACTACCAGCAGCACAACCCACCACCACCACCACACACCACCACGCCACCACCACCACCACCGCCACCACCACCATCACCACCAGCACCACCTCCACAAACTACCGCCACCACCACAACCCACCACCACCACCACCACCACAAACCACCACCACACCACCACCGAACCACCACCACCACCACAACACACCACCACCACCACCACCACAAACCACCACCACCGCCACCGCCACCACCGCCACGACCACCACCACAACCCACCACCACCACCACCACCGTCGACCTCGTCGACGCCCCCCGCCGCCGCCACCCGCCGCCGCAGGCGCCATCGCCGGCCCAGAAAAGGAAATCGTCGCCCCCGCCGCCGCCGCCGCCAGCCGTGGGGAGGGAGAGAGAGGAGAAGGAGGGGGGGGGTCGAAATCCCCCCCCTCCTCCATCCAGGAGGGGGGGGGTCCAGTTCCGTCCCCCCTCCAAGCGACCACAGAACGCGCTCTTTCTAATATAGCCCCGCGTCGTTCGACGCAACGAGCGCGCTGTCGCGGGGCACGGATATCCACCTGGACTCCTCGCATCTTCATCTCCTCCACGAAGCAGGTGGAAGTCATGCCGCTCTCTCCGCCCACTATGAACGTCTCCATCGCGCCGAAGATTTTGACCCATGGTCGGTCGGCGGCTGCAAGCAGCGTCGAGGAGCGTTTGGAATCGATATCCTGGCCGTCGTGCCAGGGCGAGACGCGGCAGATCAGGTGCATGATCACGCGACCCCTCTGATGAAAAATGTTGCACTCGACGCGCTGACTGAATCGCGTTGAAAGTCGGAGTGAGGGGTCGTTTGGTGCGCTGGCGGTTGCCACTTTTCCCTGCAGTGATGGACCACTGTGAGTATGAGATCGAAGATGTCATGGGGAATGTTGGCTGCGCGTAGTGCTCGTGTCATTTCCTCCTTAGCGGCGTGCCATCTCTGGAGGCGCAACGCGCGCAATTCTCGCATGCGTGTTTCATGCGAGCCCCCGCGTAGCGCTCGCAATGACGTCGCGAAGCCGCAGCGGATCCAGTCGGAGGGAATCGGATTGCCAACCGATGCGTCGGCGGCTTGTCGCGCTGCTCGTCTCGGCACCCCTGCCGCCGGGCTGGCTCGCAGTCCCGGTCTGGCGACGCAGTCGCCCGGGCCGGAACTCTGCGGCCCAGCAACGCGGTCGCCGGAATCGCTGCTTTGAGACCCGGCGCTGGAGGATGAGCTGGTCCCCGGCGAACCTTTGGGCGATGGTGTTAGAGCGGCTTCGTCAGCTGCTCCCAGGTCGACTACTCCAGGTAGTTGAGCCTGCTGGTCACTGGAGCGATGCGGCCCCCCAGGTAGCGCTGGCACTCGCGGGCGTTGGCCAGCGCGCGGGCGCAGCCTAATGCGAGGGTCCGGGAACCTGCGTTTGCTGCACTCGCGCGCGCGCGTGCCCGCGCGCGCAGGGCGAACGCGTTCCTTCTCCTCGCGGCAGCCTGGGCACTCCCAGCGGATAGAAGCACTGCGAGGGCATCGCCGCGTGGTTGGACACCTGGAGTGCATGGGCGAGTCCGCGCGCACGTTGTGCTCGGGCGCCCTGCGCGCATAGCGCGCGCACTCGGTGGCCATCTCGCTCTGGATCTGACCCTTTGCAGCTCCAGATGCCGCTGTTTGAGCATAGTTTGTCTTGTGGGAGCGCCTCGTGCGGCGACGCGAATCCACAGTGGATTGCGCCAGTTTCCCAAGCCATGTTGGCGCGTCGAAGCTGCCGCGCCCCTCAACGCGGGCGCGCTGGTGCTTGTTCGGGCACTTTGGGGCTGCCAAGCTGCTCGTCAATCTCCGGGATGTTGGCGTCAAAAGCCGCGCTTTTCCTCGAGGCGCCGCCGCGCCGATCACGGAGCCCGACCTGTGCGTCTGGCCGCGGCGGTTCGTGGCACAACCATGACGGGTCGGGCTGTTCGCTGGCGAAGTAGTTTCCCTATTCTAACTGCAATCGCGCCATGCGGCCGCAGAAC